GGGGGGGGGGGGGCGGCGTTGATATCTAAGTGGGTAAACTGGCCCTTTTTCAAACATTTATCCTGATGGTATAATTAAACCTGCAACATATATAGCATCGTAGCAAAGACCTGCAGGCAATATAACTCCTATAGCAGGGGGATGAAGGTGAAATGGAGCTTTACTCAAGATGGGGGCATAACTCAAGGAGGTCCAGTCTCCTAGCCAATAACATTGTTCACCAAAAAGGTCACCCTTTCAAATACCCTACATGCAAAAATAACACCTGGGAAAGGGGAAGTAACTGACAAAGTTTGACAATTGGAGACACCACAAAAAAGGTAACCTTTTCATATCCATCCATTAAAAAATGGTGCCCCTTTCACATGCTAAAGTGGTCAAAGGAAAGGTAATAAGCCAATTTGGCTAATAACTGAGCGACTTTTACTAAACTTTCACTTGAGCAAAAAGTACTTTTATTAATCAGGTGTTGTATGGCTGCTCAAATATTTTGAATTCCAATTAAAATAACTGAATAACGATTAACCTAACCCTTTAAACTACCGTGAAATTTTCCCTGGATCCTAATAGCATACCATCAACTAATATCCTGCGTAAGATCACATGTAAGATTCTGTAGGATATACTTGATCCTACAAGATCCTGAAATATGATCCTGTAGGATTCCACAGGATCTTCTACAGGATCCTATGTTAGTTTTTACAAGATCCTTTTTATTCTCCAGCATCCTAACTTACATACCATTCGTTATTAGAATCCTCAAAATTCCTACAAGAACCCACAGGATCCTACCACATCCTTAGGATCCTAAATAGGATTAAACCAACTTGTAAAATCACTAGCTCCTTTCACACAGAGCTCCCTGTATAGTCCCCAATAGGGAGTGAACCCCCCCCACTCCCCCCCCCCCGGCTCAGGTCAAACAGGGAAACACCAATGATCACTTCTTGTAAAGTAGATTTTCATTAATTATACAGATTGTATAAATCATGTACCTGGCTTGTTCCCTTAAAGAACCATTTCTCCAGTCCGTGGACAGTGTGTTGTTTGTCACAGACCTTCCTTGTACAGATCAAGGGTTGATCATCTTTCATTCCAAGGAGGTGGAAGCACTCCTCATCTTCACATGACAATTTTCCATGCTTAGGGCACCCTTGCCCAACCCCGTCTGTCCCTTTATTACAGTATGGACAGGCTACACAAAACTCATACTGCAGTCCACTCATGTGTGGCAGCTCCTGTGACAAGGTCTGTAAAGTTTCTTTTAGATACTCAAGTACTTGTGTAGCTACGTCTTCTGACTTCTCTGCTGAAAGTGGATAACTTTGCATTGTACATTGCGTTAAGACAATCTTGATGAAACTCTTCTTGCAGATAAGAATGAAATTATGGACTTGCTTCCCAATAAAAAACCAAGCTCCATTTTGGTACAGCTTGGAGTGCTCCATGGGCCAAGTCTTCTTACAACACCAACGAATAGATCGTGAAACAAGCTGTGAGAACAGGCCAAGAGGGACAAAGCCATGTACAAAATGAATATACAAAGGGCATGGATCAGTGTGGGATGGCTCTATTTGACAAAAATCTTCAGGCGATGATTTAAGCTGAGCTGGTACAAAGTACTTTACGTCAGTCGGAGAGGGTGAGAACTTGGCAATCAGACCAAACTGCTCCATCATGTCTAAGATGTCATCTTTGATAATGCGTTGTTGAATAAACTTGGAAAAGACATGATCAATGAGTTCCGTGCAGAGGATGCCATTTGCTTCTAGCTCAAGCCAGTACTTGTAGTGAATAGGATCCTAAGAAAAAAAGGTCAAAAACAATTAGGCTTACAGCCAAAAATATGCAATCAGCTACCCGGCTAGTTACTTTAGCCATGCATGAGGCTGTACAAAGATTTCATTGCCGATCACACCCTCACAAGCAGAGTAGCTCTCTTAAGTGGGAAATAGTTCTTTGTCAAAACTACCTGTTATAAAATCACAAATTCCGGGAAATACGTTCATATTAGACAAAGATTGACAGACATTCTTAGAGACCTTAGAAGATAAGCTTAATGGTTCCAAAGTAGATATAACTTAAAATTCATTAACACATAGTACAAAGTAATGTAAAAAAAGTTTTTAATTACCTCTACCTATATTTACAAAGCATCTGCTCAAATGCCTGCAGGGGAATTTGGTTTTATGATGTTGAAATAAACAAAACAAAAAAAAAGTAAAATAAACATTTAAATAACTTGGGCCATACCTGCAATGATCGATTAAAATGAACTATTCATGAAAGCTACAGCTGTAAAAATTGAAAATGATTATCACTTAATATTTGATTTTCCTGACTTGGTGGTCAATGTACATATATCTAACGGTTTAGCCAAATTAATAGAAAGATAAACATAATACATTTTCAGCCGCCCAAATATCTAAAAGTTCCTACAGAACACTCCAGGTGAAGATGAGGTTTAGATAAAACACTAAAATTTTTGCTATGGAAATTGCGTTTCCTACCATTTGATCTAAGTTTGGAATAGTCGTCAACTGCCGAAATAGGTCAATGAGCCACTGAGCCTTCAGAACAACTGTACTGCGATGCTTGATAATCATACCAAGGCCATGGTAAAAACTGATCATACCGGCAAACTCATCAGCATCTTCTATAAAGCAATGCTTTTTGCCAAAGCTTTGGAGTTGCTTCAGACTTCTGTGATAGATTTGATTAGCTATCAAAGTTTCAATCACCTTTTCAAACAGAAACCATCTAAAAGAAAATCAAAGAAAATGTATTAAATAAATGCCAAGCCATTATTTCTACTATTTACTGTGAAGTCGCCGGACTGTCGCCACATGACCAAGTTTTGATTAATCTTTGACAGCTTTTTCACAACTTTGTCATAATTTATGTTCTCACGGCTTTTGTTTTGAATAACCAACAATGAGAGTGCAAGAACTGCGAAAGCGGATTTGTCAAGATCACACGTTTGTCTTCAAACAATTGATATTTATCTCTGCCTTTAATAGTTCTTGGATTTGATTTGCTAGTTAAATGAAAAAATATTTTGTCCCAAATTAATAAAAAACTTTGTTAAGTGACGGCAGTACAGCAATTTCTACTGTAACGCCATGTTAATTTGAAAATTCACACTCTTCTTAAATATGAACTCGAACTGCCACTGTTTGAGAAGGAATATTAGCTCAAATACACATCCTGGATATTATGTTTACTACCCTTCTTATAATTATCATGTCTTGAACGCATCCTGAGCCAGGATCAGTGTAAATCTTCATTTCAGTTTACCGAGGTAAATGGCAATAAAAACATTTTGAAACAAGAGGAATCAAATCTTAGTTACTTGTAACATACAATGGAACCTTATTTGCCAGACACGCACGGGACCCTCACAGAAAGGGTCCACTTAAGGTGGCTTTGAGCAACTAGCTCAACAAAAAAATCAATCCAACAGAAAATCGAACTGTAAAAGGTACTAGAGAAAGAAGAAAGTTTTAGATGAGGTATGTTACACCATGATCACCATAGCAACGTAATGAATGATGCCATACCTCTTTTTACATGAGACATCGAGGGATAATTCTGGAAATACAGCGTGACATGACAGCACATGACATACATACATTAAAACATGGTGTCTGCCTAATACAGGGTCTGCTAAATACAGGTGTCTGTATGTAATGTTTAATCTTTGGTTTTAAATATCATATTATTTCATTATTAGATATCTCCTGAGACCAACATTGATGTAATGCTGATGCAGCGATCCATATTCGCAACCGTCTGGTTGTCCGTGACAACTAAAAAATCACAGGGACGACCAGTTTAGTTTGACTCTACCAGAAAAAAAAATTCTCAAATTTTCTTATGAGTTCCCTGCATTCTGACCACTTGTCATCCATTTGGAACTTTTAGAAAACAGAGAAAGACTTGCAGTTTTCTTTTGCAATAAAATCATCATTTTGGACCGCCATCTTGGATAATGTGGTATTCTCAGGTATTCCCCATGAATGAAATCATTGCAGGCTCAATTTTCATTTTGTCAACTGTTGATGCTCTGCACTGCATCTGCATCCACGAAAACATGTCGCGCGATCTGGCGCGATCGCATCGGCTGTTTTGATCAGGATATGTTGTTTAGCAATGTCAGCACTTCGGAAAAACAAGCCAAAGACGAGCAGGAAGAGTGAAAGCATTCCTTTCAGCCTTCATGGCAGACGAAGAGGCCTTGGTTTTAATTTGAACCTGGATTTTCTGTGTCCGCCGACAGCCGCAACTAAGGCCAACTTCTGGTTGTCCTGATGGAGGTTTTCCTATTGTCAACGACCTTATTAAATGGCCACCCACAATTTAATTCAACTTAATTAACTTTGTTTTGGATAAGGCGAAGGCAGATAAGAGTCTGAAATAGAAGGTGACGAGTGATAAAAACATTCAAACACAGGTTTATCATGATTGTCTTGAAGTGACTCGATGTTCACTAAGAAATTGACCTGATGTTGAACATATTCAAGGTAAACAAACCCCTATTAAATGGCCAACTCCAATTCCCCAATTTCCCAATTTTTTTTTTCCAATTTCCAATTTCCGAGGGTGGCCAGTTAATAGGGGTTCGACTGTATTTGAGACAAGCTTTGAGGTGTGGTCAAACACTGTCTTGAGTGTTTGTTATATCTTTTTTAAGCATACAAGGAACAGTTGCATGTTTCAATCCCTTATAGACTTCATTTATAATGTACACAGGATTTTCAACTTACAAAGACAGAAGACTGTAATATATTCGTAACCGGAAGTTGTGTTAAGCTGTTGTATTACCCAAGATGCTTAGAGAATAAAGTTGTTGTGTTGAACAAGCCTCGTGAACTTGTGTTGTTATGTCACCAAGCCATACTTTGGCTAGTATGTTTCAAGGACCACTAAGACAAAATACCAGTAGGGCTTACTTTGTTCTCCTTCAAAGTCAGTGTATCAATACCTTGCTGACATAAAAGTGTTCACAAAAAAGACTACATATTTACCTGACTGGTATCTTCTGCCCCATATATGGCTCCTGTCTCAACACCTCCATGATTTTTTTTCGCAGTTCTTGAATGTCATCTGTGTTCCCCTCTTGCTCTGTAAATTAAGGCAATACATTTTGACAGTAACCCTGTGTTTACACTAAATTGAGATATATAGGTATCCTATAAAGAGGTTGAAATTTGAGAACGTACAAGAAATGCAAGCCAGCAAAAAGCGCTAAAAAGTAACTCTGTTCCTGTCTCTGTGAGGGATTAATGTTCACCCTAGAAACTGCAGGAATAGGAAAATGAATTAAATCCACTGGAAGCAGCATGCTTGACAGCAATATTGACAATAGCTGACCTGCAATAAGCTCTAGGACATATTTAGCTAAGGAGACACAAGCTAATTCAGCACAAACTTTTCTTAAGCTGTACAAGGTTATGTGCTATAAAAATACAGATAGACCATTTCACTGAACTTCTTTTAGTAAGCAACCAAATTACAAGCATATCTACAACATATTGGGAGCACAAGACAAGGGAAAAAACCTGACTCTCGTACAGGACTTGAACCAATGACCTTCCAGATACCAGTGGGACGTTTTGACCACTGAGGTACAGCAAGACTCATGAGTGGTGAGTGTGTGCAAGCATCAACTATTTCCTTTCTTTTATCTTGGAAAGTGATGTCTGTGAAGCCCCATTGCTAATCATGCAATAGTATCCTGCTGTTTATCCAGAATTCGGGGACTGCACTCCAATTAATTGCTGACAATAAGTATTTTTTTAAGTTGACAGTGACTAGCTATCAGCACAATATTCTCAACATCATTTATGCAGTATTGTATAAAGACAAGTTTTTCATCAACTAAATATGTTTGATAAAGTGTTGTGTTCTACGCTTAACTGAAGACGATAGAAATCTTATTGGAGGTTGCGGGGGAACTGAAGTTTATCTTCTTGTGAAAGAAATGACCTGCAACAAACCGAACTAGCAAAATGCCAAAATGTACAAGATTAAATTTATCAGTGGAAACCATGTAGACCCTAGACTCCCGGTAGGCGGCCTTTTATCTTATGGTCAAGACAAGACTGTGCAAAAAATATGATAATTATGCAATAATTATCAACATGTCCTCCTTTTCCTAATTTTAAAGCTTATCACTAAGTGTCACTTGTCATCAGGCTTTTAGCCAGATGGGTGTCCAGGTGTCCTGTGGACAGCCACTTTTTAAAGAAAATTGTTTAATTTTTCATATGTTGCCTTATAAATTGTTCATTTGAGCAGACCCTATAGCACATTTGGGTTGCTCACTTTTCAAATCCTGGCTAAAAGCCTGCTTGTTACCTGTAGTGTCAGTTTATAAATCATGTTCAGTGGTGAATCCAGGGGTGTCCTGAGGTTGACACTCCTCCTTTGTACTGAAAATTTCTATACACTTAATGCTAATTGTTATGGAGGGGACAATCCCTTTGTTGGGTATTTCTTAATATAAAACACCCCCTTATTGAGATCCTGGATCCACCCCTGTTGTGTTGATTAGAAATAAGGTCAAATGCCATGTGAACAGATAGGTGAATTTTCATGGCTCTGGTACTCTTTGTTATATTTTGGATAACATATTTTTTATATTTTATTCATATTAAATCAGTTCCAGAAAGAAATGTGGATCATTGATAGTGAGACATAAGTGGTGTTGGAAACTTTAAGGGTGGCTCCATAGGGTAATTATTTATGACGTTGCACGTGCAAGTGTTTTGTTTTAATGCCGTTTTTGCATTCTTTTTTACACCCAGTCCTCTCAAGCTTATTACATGTAATAAGCAACGATCAAAAATGGTAGTAGGACTGAGTGGAATCCAATTTGGTCTGTAATCATACGAGTGATTAACAAAATCGGACGACCACCTGATTTGTTAATCACGAGTATGATTACAGACTGAATTGGACGACACGATGTCCTGTTACCAATTAATCATAACAATTACATTTTCCCAGAAAAGTAAAAGTTTCATAGTTTAATAGTCAAAGTTTAATAGTTATTTTTAAATATCATAATTAAAAATATGGAGAATAGCTTGCAAAATGGATGTTAGGTTTCTTTCAAAACAGTCACCGGAGACTAAACCTCTACAATTATTTTTACAAAGCCAGTCTCTTGAATTGGTTACTATAGTGATTGTAATTGTGATTGGTGGATTTAGTGGAGAGGACTTAAACTGATTGGCTCATATAACTGTCCGATTACAGGTGTCCGATTACACTGCCCAATTACAACTTTCTTTTTGGGCAAGTGAAAACTGGTCAGGGCCAGTGCATTTTGAGGGTCACTCGCTGTCAAAATTAAGTGTCCAACCCTGAATATTGTGGAATTTCACTGGAGGAAACGCAAGAAAATTCACCCTCAGTTTTGCTTTTTGTGCTCATGTTGACATCATAAAATATCAGAAAACACTGACGTTTTCCTTCGAGTGCACATAGAATGAGCTTTCGTCCCCAGCACACATGTGATCGTAAAACTATAGGAAGCCACCTCAAGTCAGCTTGATACCACCCCCACTGCTTTTCAAAAAAATTACATGTTACCCCTCTCCCTTAGGGTACGAGTTTACATGGTGCCCCCCTTTGGTTTTACAGGGCCCCCTCCTGATAATTATTGCACAGTCCCTTATCTGTAAATGCGAATGAAAATGGGCAGTATGAACAAAAGGGAGTTTTCTTCTTCTGGAGAGGGTCATGCCAGTGTTTCGTCCTGGCATACTGCTATGAAACAAACAGGTAAATTTTATTCAGTGCAATTCATGGCAAGATAAAAAATATACCGGACATCCATGCACTGGTGCTAAGCTTCTAAACAAAGATACACATTGCAGAATGTCAAATGAAATTTCAGAGTCGAAAGTGTCACTGGAAATGAGTGTCAAAGAATTGGCAAAGGTTAAAGTGACAAGTAGACCATTCTGACACTGACAGGTGAGCTATGAAATCAGAGACCATTCAAGAGCAACAACAGGATTTGGAAGACCTCAAAAACAGACCTCAGTGAAATCAAGCAGTATTCGCTAACACACACTTGAGATACATGAAACCCCAGTAAGTGTCAATTCCTCAACAGAAGAAATCGTTCGCCTGATCCTTTGGCGTTGAATTGGAAATCAGTCATCACTTAATAATATCCAGAAAACCAGCAGGCCTACCATTGTAAAGTATTTCATTGGCCTCAACACCCTGTCCTGATTCATTATTTTCAGATAAGGCTAGTCAGTCTTCATAGAGCAATACAAAAGTTATGTACACTGTATCTACTGTACATTGCACATTATTTGTTCACTCAATGTATGAAAGTCAATATGTAAAATAACATGGTAGTTATATATTATCAATAATGAATCAATTTTACTTATAACATAGCCAGTAAAGCTATGCTATCAAACTCAGAAGACGTAAACATGCATAATAAAACCACTGATGCACACTTGTGGCAACTGAACAAAGTTAACCTTGCTGCACTAGAGAAATGTTTTCCATTGACAATGCTTTAACACAATTTATTTATGCTTTTAGCTGTGCAAAATAGAGTTATGATGCACTTTCCTGGGAAGTTTGAAGGGCACTAAAAAAGCTAGACTTGCTCTCAGCTGCACCTTTTCTGCTCTCCAAACTTCCTGGGTGCATGATAACTTGATGATGCTTGCTAAATGTTAAATGGCCATGCATTGGTAGTTTAATACCTGTTTGATGATTTTGTTTCTTTAGACCCTGACTTAAACATCTCTTCATCCTATTCCACACGTTTGAGCATGTGTTATCAATGCTGAAGAGTGGTTGGATCACATGCTTCTCATATTCTGCACCAGAAATTCTCGCCTTTATTTGTGATTCCATCACTGCGATGTCTTCAACTGGTTGCTCAGCATGTGTGCCTACAATGAACACTGGAGGACGCAGATAGGGCAGACTTTGAGCACCAATATCTGTTTCGTTTTTCACTTGTGCTATGCCATGAACTGTAACAAGCCAAGATAGCAAATTGTCCAGATTTGTTTCATTGTTTGGGTTTGCCAAATAAGTATCAGAAGTTCCTTGTTTAACACAAGGCTGAGCTGGGGCTTGTAATGGCTTGCTGAGGTTGTGTACCAAAATGTACACCGCACGTGATGATAAGAACATAGGATGACTGGCATAGTACAGGTGTTCTCCAGCAAAATCCCACAAATCCACAGCCACAACAGATTCTTCCTCAGTGATATCACAATCAACATGCTCACCTCCAACATTATTTAGCAACTGACGAACAGCATATTGAACACGTTTTGTGATATCATCTGTTATCTCCTTACCCTAGAATAGAGTATCAAACAAGAAATGATTAGTGATACACTGATTACATGTAAGCCACAGGTACTCAGAAAAAGGTTGTGATGGTTTCAGACGGTATTGAGATAAAATTGTCTCTGACTTGTTCCTTCTTTAGCATCGACTGCCCAACTGAGAAAGGTATTACCTGCTTTATAGAGAGACAGGTAACCTGACATTTTTATAATTGAAAGATAGTAAATTAAAGGGTACCTAAAGCAAATAGTTAAGTTCAGATCATTTATCACATGATGCAAACTCAACATGACTAAAAAAATAGGAAGCACTTTTGGCCACAAATAAATATTTTCATGTGAAAATTAACATGCTTCTGTTATGTTTAAGACAGTCCCCTTCTCTTAGGTTTTAAGAAACAAATGTCTGCATTAAATATACATCATAGCTCTAAACATTTAAGTACATTCAAACCTGTTGCTTGTTAGGATGATTTTTGTCACCACTAAATTCCAAGTCCATTTTTTTGTCACAATTCCCAAAAGACATTTCTTTAGACAATCCTCCCTTTTCTCCTCTAAAATGGTCTTCTCTTGCCACTGCATCTGCTTTTGTTGCTGCTGCAGAATTTCCCTTCCCCAATTCCATTGTTCTGTCATATGGTTTCTCTACCACTTTCCTTGATGTATCTTTAGACAATTCTAGCAGTGCCGGTTTGTTCTCATAGGTGCAATGCCAGTTCTTAACTTGGTCAACGCCAATATGAAATGCTGAAGCATCTACTTCAATTCCCTCAGTACTCTGTTCTTCAGGGTTAAATAGCAGGCCTAAGAGGTTCCTCTTTAGACTGGTTTTACCAGCACGCTCCTGACCAATTAGAAATATGCGACCACGGTAAACATTTACAAATCTAGTTTGTAGAGCCTTTTCATACGCTAGTTGCGCTCTTTGTCCTTCTGTTCTTTGTTCAAGTTCACGATCTAAAAAGAAAATGAAATTATATAGGTATTTTTTTTCAACAGCTAGTGGTTTGTGTAATTTGATTCCCATAAGCTTCCTCTATGTAAGATAAATGTAAGTGTAAAATATATATAAAGTAGATATTATAAAATAGATATTACAAGGCAGTGCGAAGATATGGATCTCACCTTATAGTGGTAAAAGCAATACTTCACAAACGATTATGTAGCAAGTGACTAAATTAATGTTTCAACATGAGAAAATATGATCAATATCTTAAAGTCACCATGTAGTTTTCTTTTTATTACATAGACAAACAGACTGTTCGTGCAAACAACCGTAAAAAAGCACGAAATCGCTCCGTCAACATCCTCACTTGTGAGGGCATGGAAAATATGCCACTTGAGTCCCAGATGTAGTTTAATGAATTTTGTGAGTGGTGTATTCTCCAGCAAAACACTTGATGTGTTTATAAAATAAATCTAATGTTAAAATAATACTCTTCTGTATATCAGTTAAAGCACCGGCAGAGGAATTTCAGACTTTGAAATAACATTTTATTTATCTCTTTGAGCTGTAAACATTTATTGTATAAAAGTTGCACTCAATATGAAGGTTGAAACTTCAAGAAATTAATACCATTAAAACTCTTTGAATTTTTCCTCATTTTTTAAATTTAGTTTTCTATCTCTTAACTGCATGGAATTATTCATGGTGCTCTTTTTGTTAAGGTTAGGCCCTCATTTTCATCTAAAAGTAGTGACAAAATTAATCATACAAAACACTTACACATGCCCATAGTGAAAGAAGTATATATATTGTATAGTACAGGATCAAATTACTTTCAGAACAATGACATTTTTATACCCCTAAAGAGGCAGTCTCTGTAAGAGAGGACCTTTTGGTCTGGCTTAAAACATAGATTTTACTCATTTCTTGTGTGCTGCAAAACATTCATGCACTTATACTAAATAAAAACCACAATCCGCTTGATCAGATCTTTCAAATTTTTTCTTTGAAAATTAGTAAAACAAGAACAAAAAATCTCTGCACAAAACAGACACCACTGTTAGTTATAGTATGTCTTCTTAATAAGCCAAATTAACCGATTTTAAGAAATATTGAGTATGAACCAAGCATTAAACGCGACTTTAACGACACGCTTATCGCACAGCTCAATGAGACACGCAAAAATGGATCAAATTTAAACTGTAATTTTGAAAAAGTTGGGCATCCTTAATTCCTGTCAAACCAACACAGCCTTGACATTCTATCACCTGATAGTTCCTGCACAAGATCATATCGCATGATCGGTTTTGGCCAAGGTATTATTTAAACCAAGACCCTATATCGTATCTGCTATGATCACTAACAACTGTCCCTACAATTGACAAGATTTTTTACAGTGTAATTAAGTCACACAAGCCTAATAGCTGATTGTGTGCACATGTTTTAAAGGACTTTTAACTAATACGAACTCTTTTTACTCTTATTTATTTTAGCTTGTAGTAATTTATTAGGTAACTCTTATTTATGTCATTTTTAGGTGATTTTTATTT